ATTGCCCAACCTTCCTTCCGAGGAGTGGCTGGTGGGTTTGAACCGCCAGCCTTCTGGTTAGCAGTCAAGTGCCTTAGCCACTATGCTACCAGAGCTCCCGACATCCTTTACTAGCAGTTGGTATTTGCTTACGATGTGTCCAAAATAAGTGAGCTGAAATATTGTCATTCTTGCTCCTAAGGAACACTCTATTGTATTGTGTTTCTACTGAAACTGGTTGGTTCGTTCCTCCTGCAGTCCACCACAAATCAAATGCATTCATTCTGTCTTCTCATTGTCCAGATTTCACGTGAAGATGAGGAGACTGAAAAGACCATGGCTCGTGTCAAGTGCAACTCAGTCATCACCTGAACTGTAAAGAGGTCTTTTGCAGCAGATCTGCCCGATGCAATATGTCATTGGATTTCTTGACTGCTGCTTCCGTGGGCGTTGACTGTTGATCCAAGCAGAAGGAAATCGTTGACAACTTCAATTTCTCTTTCATTTATCACGATGTTAATTACCAGTCTCATTGCAAAGACTTTTGTCTTCTTCATGTTCAAGTGTGATCCATAATGAAGTCTGCAGTCTTTGACCTTCATCAGTAAATGCTTCAAGGCGTCCTGCCCCCTTCACAGCTACCTCTCATGATGTGATTTTGTTTCTACCATCCTGCTGTCCTGATGCTTAATAAGGTGGGTTTAGAAAAGTCAGCTGCCATCCCTGGAATCCTGCCAGGGGCAGAAAATCTCTCCAGACTCAAACCACTGCCAACTTGGAGTTCAGTGACAGAAATAAACAGCACAGGTCCCAGGAAATGTGCCCTGGCACCGTGCCACACGCCGTGCCAAGCCCCATGCATTCCTGCTCTTATGGGAGCCTCACAACCGCCCTGTTGGATGGATGCCTTTATTTTCCTGCAATGTAGTGGTTAGAAGGACCTCTGGTGGTATAGTGGCTAAGACATGCAGCTGCTAACCAAAAGGCTGACGGTTTGAACCCACCAGTTGGTCCGTGCGAGAAAGATGAGGCAGTCTGTTTCTGTAAAGATTTATAGTCTTGGAAACC